AAATCTGAAATTCGATTGTCCAAATAATTAGGGAAGGCTGTAGTTCTAATACTTATTTTGTTAAATCCTCGTGGGAACGATATTTTTATACTACTTGATAACTAGTGCACTTGCTAAGGTTATAATCATAGCTATCAAAAAACCTGGCATACCCCAGGATAGAAGAGAAGCATGTGTGCCCAATTCAAATTGAGCCTTGCTAGATGGATCCCATCCTCTTCTACTTACAATATGGACAGCTACCACAAGACAAAAATGAAGCACGGAGGGTCAAACGACAGTCGACACGATATGTCATATTGGAGGACAAGTTGTGCAGAAGATCGTTTACCCTACCCTACCTCAGATGCATATGCCAAGATGAAGGAGAGTATATACTAAGAGAAATCCATGAAGGCCTCTACGATAATCATCTAGGGGGTAAGGCCACTGCATAAAAGACACTAAGACAAGGGTAATTCTGGCCATCCATTCAGAAGGACGCCATCTAGCTGGTACAAAAGTGTGATCGATGCCAACAACACTCCAACATTCCCCATCAGCCTGCCACAACCGTCTCAGCCCTCATCAGTCCTTGGCCCTTTGCAAATTGGGGGATGGACATCCTCGAACCTTTCCCTCCAGCTATAGGAAATAGAAGGCACCTGATCATGGCAATTGATTACTTTACAAAGTGGGTAGAAGCCGATGCCTTAGCAACCATCACGACAAGGATGATCCAAAGCTTTTTTCGGAAAAACATCATTTGTCACTTTGACATTCCATACATGCTCACCACTAGCAATGGCCCCCAATTTGATGATTCCAAGTTCAGGGAATGGTATGCAAGCCTAGGTTTAAGGTAGTAGTACACCTTAGTCTATTATCCTCAAACCAATAGACTAGCCGAGGTAACCAACAGAACCATCTTGAATGGATTGAAAGCAAGATTGGGTAGAGGCAAAGGACTTTGGGTAGATGAGCTGCCTAGTGYGGTATGGGCATATAGGACAATGCCTTAGACGACCACAGGAGAAATGCCTTTCAACTTAACATATGGAACAGAAGTCATCATTCCAACAAAGATTGGCCAGGCGAAGCTTTGAACAAAAGCATACAATGAAGCTGAGAATAGTAAAGTGTTAAAAAATAACCTTGATCTGCTGGAGGGCACCTGGGAGAAAGCTCAAATTAGGGTTGCCRCCTACCTTCAAAGAGTAGCAAGATACTACAACCCTTGAGTCAGAGAGCACCACTTCAATGAAGGAGACCATGGTCCTTAGAAAGGTTATTGTCCTTGAGCCTAGTGTTGGGAAGCTCAACCTAAATTAGGAAGGGCCTTACAAAATTAAGCAAGTGGTAGGACTTGATACMTTTCAGCTGGAATATTTGAGTGGAAGACCAATACCTTGTACTTGAAACTTGAAGAACCTCTATATGTACTATCAATGAACTCAAGCGTACATTGAAATGTATTTATGAATGAAAAAGAWGCAAGTTCCTCTTTGTTTGCTTTACTGATCCCTGTGTGTAAATGTTCTTTCTTCTTTAGTTGCCAGGATCTTTTGGCTGACAACCTGTGGCATACAACCTTACATTAGGTTACAYGCCTAACAAGCCTTGGCCCATGGCATACAATCTCATGTAGGTTATATGTCCAACAAGCCTTTTTTGACTAAGACTTGAGACCTTGGGACTTCGGAAACTCATATTAAGTGGCTYATAGTTAATGACTTCAGTGTTAAAG